CCTCCGGAGCCCGGCAGGAGCTGGCGGCCGCTGACTCGGCTCTAGCTCCGGGGCAGTGCAAACCTGCAGGGGCAAATGTCAGAACGCCCTTTGCTTCCTTCTCCTGCGGCTCCCGAACCTTGTTTATTCTTCTACCCACACAGTGCTTGTTTTTAAAGGAAATTATAGCACTTTTTCTTTGGGGTTAGGCTAATCCCCTTAAGAAAAAAAGGAAAGAAGAAAAGAATTACCCACAGTTCCTGCCTTCATTAAGTATTAGGGACTATTGGGGGAGAAATACGTAAACCAATTAAACAAATAAAACCACCACTGCGCCGAATGCTACAGTGGAGAGCCTCGCACCTCTTAGAGGGATTGGACCTTGTCAGAGAAGCCAGGGACAGCTTCTGGAAGAAAGATGGCTCTACTTAAGTCTGGAGGATGAGAAGGGGTTAAACCAGTTGAAGGGAGAGGGGAAAACGTTCTAAGCAGAGGGAACAGCATGAGCAAAGGCCCTGTGGCAAGAGGGAGTTTGCTGCTGGGAGAAGGGAATAAGAGACAGCTGGAAGCAAGATGACTCAGCAGGAGGTAGGACCAGGCCATACGGGCTATATGGCATATTAAGGAGCTTTCTGTTCATCCCAACAGGAAGCCTTTAAAAGAATTAATCAGTAGAATGAGGGGAGGAAGGGGGAAGGTTACGATCAGAATTTCATTTCAGCAGGGTTCTCTGCCTTTAGTGTGACCAGCATTTGGTTGGGGGACTGGAGTCAATGTAGGGAGCATTAATAAAAGGCACTTGTAAGAATCTAGGCAGGAGATCATTGCTTGGGCCAGAATGGTGCCCATGGTGATGGCAAAGATGGGCAGAAGTAGACAAATGTAACAGGTACAGAACAGTAAGTGCAAAGGTACAACAGGTGAATGCAGCAGGGCTTGGCGCTGGACGTAAGGGATGCGGAGAGGGTGGTATTAAAAATGACTTTCCAGTTTCTGACTTGTACAGCTGGCTGAATGGCAAAGCCCTACCCGGAGACAGGCGCCCTGGATGAGAACCAGTTTGCTGGGGAGAGATTAAAGTCAGTTGTGAACATGTAGGTTTGAGTGCCTTGGAGGCACCTAGAGGGAGTTTCGGAAATGCAGTCGGATAAGCGGGGTGCAGCTCGGAGGAGGCGTCTAGGGTAGAGGCAGACATTCGTGAGTTCTCTGAGCCAAGGTGCATGGGGCACTGTGGTGTGGATGGCACCACTCAGCGAGAACAGAGTGAGCGGAGGAGAGGGCCTAGGACCCGGCCATGTGGGATTCCAACACCTAACGCCTGGGGAGAGGAGACGTCTACAGAAGAGGAAGCAGAAAAACCCCGGCCAGAAACACAAGGAGGAAAACCAGACTGAAAGCCAAGGGAAGCAAGTGTTTGTTGGAAGAGACACTGATCAGGGGACAATGCTGCCGAAAGGACGGGGAACACGAAGACCTGATCATGATAATGATAACAGCTATAGTACTGTCAGAAACAACGGGGATAGACCATCTTTATGGAGCACCAATTATGAGCCAGGCATTTTATTTATTTATTTTATTTTTAATTAATTTTTTATGGTGAATGTTGTGATTTTTTGATTTTTTTTTAAAAATATATCTTTATTGATTTCAGAGAGAGGAAGGGAGAGGGAGAGAGAGAGAGAAACATCAATGATGAGAGTCATTGATCAGCTGCCTCCTGCACACCCCGACTGGGCATGGAGCCCACAACCCGGGCGTGTGCCCTGACCGGGAATCGAACCCCGATCTCCTGGATCCTAGGTCAATGCTTAACCACTGAGCCATGCCCGGCCGAGCCAGCCAGGCATTTTAAGATATAATTTAATCCTCATAAGAAGTCTGGAAGGCAGGTCCTATTATCATCCTCATTTTTACAGATGAGAAAACCCAACACAGAGCGATGAAGTCATTTACCTGAGGTCACTCAGCCAGTAAGTGATGAAATTGGGGTGGGAACTCTTTCTCACTCACAGCCCGTTTTATTAAATGCTGTGTGTTCACTGTTGGAAGAAAAAATGCGAGTAGGGAGGGCAGGTTTTTCCTCTTTTAAGATTTGGATTCTCTCAAACACAGCCAAGGAAATACTTCATAGTGGCGAAAGCCCAAGCCCAAGCTGGTGACCTGGAATGGTGTTGCAGTGACTGTTTCTGACCGTGTAGTTCAGCTGCACTAGGGGAGTGCGGGATACACAACACAGCTGTGCTTGCCATGTGAAAGGCTTTCCGAAAGTGCTCTGAGGCAGTGGTTCTCAAAATTGAGGTCCCAGGACCCACAGCATCAACGTTGCCTGGGAACTAGGCAATGCAGATTCTCAGGCTCCGTCCCCAATCTCCTGAATCAGAAGTAGAACCAGAAATCCATGTTCTAGCAAACCTCTGTGTGAATCTGATGCACAAGTTTAAGAATCCTTGTTCTTGGGGATCCTTGGAAAGAAAAGAAATTTGAATAACGTATAATCCATGTATCTCACAGATGCAAAACCCCTTGGCAGAAACCAGATGGAAGAGTCAGTGGTTCTCAGCCCTGGCTGCCTGTTGGAATCACGTGGGGTGCTTTGAAAACTCCTGATGCCTGAGTCCTCCCCCCAGAAATTCATTGGGTGGGGTTGTCCTGAGCATTTGGTTTTTGAAATGAGGATTTGAATGGAGAATAGATAATTGAATGAATGGTCAGCAAGGCAGCCTCTGAACCTCTGAGTACAAAGTTGTACCCTGGGGAGAAAGTGAGGCAGGTCCTGAGGGGAAGGGCAGGGTGAATGGAAGAGAGGCTAGGCCTTGGGCCCTCTGTGAATACATTAAGCCTAAAAATTCTGGAGATTGTGGAGCCAGAGAAGGTAGTCTGAATTTGTAACAATTCTTAACAATGGACTTACTTTCAGAGATGCCAATAATAAAGTAGATGTGCTATCAATTTCATGAATAAAGAAGTATCATTGTGATTTTTACTCAGTCTTAATGGAAGTGATCTTCATGAATTTTGACTGAAAACAATATGCTGACATTCTCCTGGGAGCTTCATTTAAGACTCTGTCTACTTGTTAAGAAGGCATTCTGCTCCTCTGGCCTCTCAAACATCACCATTGCCCGTTGGCTTCACGAACCTTCTGCTGCTCGTTTAGGGGTCCCTAAGCATTCCCATATACGGGCATTTGTTCGTGTCCCTCCCCACCTCCTCCTTCTCTCCAGGTCTCACCCCATCTAAAATCATTCGTGGCTCCCCGGTTCAGAGGGCTCTCCCTTCTCCCAGCCCTTTCAGCACCCAGTTTTTTTAAGGCACTCTGCTCCCATTTTGTTATCATTCTGCCCTTTTCCCATCTCCACCCTGGATAGTAAGGCCCCCAACAACGGTGATGGCTTAAAATTATTCCGCCTGCCTAGCATAGCACCCTACCCCCTACAGGCTCAGAAAACAGTAGCCAAGAAGCTGTGTAATATTGAATTGCAGCCCATCTTCTTCCCCCATTATCACGGATTGGGGATAAGAAGCCCCCGACCCCCATGAACTGTGACTGTGTTTTGGCTGCTCTGAAGGCTGAAGCAGGAATCCCAGAAGGAGATTCGTCCAAAGTGAAAAGTGGCCTTCACGGGAAGGGGCGCTCATGGTCTCCTTACTCTGCTGCTTTGTATTAGTTTCCGAGGCCTGCCCTAACAAATTACCACAAGCTTCGTGGCTTAAAACAATAGAAAACTATTTGCTCACATTTCTGGAGACCAGAGTCTGAAACCAGTGTCACAGGGTCAAAGCAAGGTGTCAGCTAGGCCATGCTCCCTCCAAGGGCTCTAGGAGAGAGTTTTCTTGTCTCTGGCTTCTGGCGGCGGCTGTCCTCTGGCTTATGGCCGTATCACCCCAGCCTGTGATTGCATTTAAGGTCCACGCTGGTGATCCAGGATAATTTCCTCTCTCAAGATCCTTAATGTGTCATCTGCAAAGTGCTTTTTTTTTGCTGTGAAAGGGAATATTCATTCACATGTTTAGGGGTGAAGATATGGACATCTTTTGGAGAGGCCATTATTCAACCCACCACACATGTAAAGGTAACTGGCCAAGTAGCTCAATTAGTTATAGCGCCGTCCCAATGCATCAAGGTTGTGGGTTCGATCCCTGGTGAGGGGACACATAAGAAGCAACCAATGAATGCCAAAATAAGTGGAGCAACAAATCAATGTTTCTCTCTGTCTCTCTAAAAACCAATCAATAAAAAACTTTTTAAAAGAAAGGTAACTGGAACCTCCAGGCCTGTCCAAGATCATACTTCAAGGTTGTGACAGAAATCAGACAGAGACCCAGGTCTCCTTTATGTCAACTTTGGGCTTCTTCCACTAGACCAAGCGGATGCCCATAAAAGTAATACAGGGAAGGGGATTTAAAAATGACACCTCAGACCCTAATTCGTGCGCTGTATCCACTCATCTTCTCTCTGGATCGTGTGGCTTGTGTGTGCTTCCAGGATTCATCCACCTCGCCCCCACTCCCCCTCGAGTCCCGGCTCTGTTACCTTGGGCTCCCAGCACGTGGGCCTGTGTGGGCAGGTGCAGGGAACTAGCTACATGACATCTCCTCTCCTTTCAGGACCGCCTCTTTTTCGTCATGGAGTATGTGAATGGTGGAGACCTCATGTTCCAGATTCAGCGCTCCCGAAAATTCGACGAGCCCCGTTCCCGGTTCTACGCTGCAGAGGTCACGTCCGCCCTCATGTTCCTCCACCAACACGGAGTCATCTACAGGTAGCTCTTCTTTCCTCCTCTCTTTCCTGAAAGTGAAAAAAAAATAAAGAATCCTCCAGACTGGCTCCTGCCCCACTGGCCTCTTAGTCACCTGCTTTAGATGAGTTGTTTTAATTTGCTTACAGGGGCCTTTGGGGCGGGGGCAGGCTGTTTATCACTGTGAATGTTAATATTTGAATAGCCCCAGGAGACCCACTGCTTGTGCCAGTTTTGATGGAAGGCCCAAGAACGATTTTAAAGGCCTGGAGCCCAACGACCTTGGGGTGACCTTCATTTCTTTCTCTCCCCACCCTCTTCCTTCAACCTCGGGGCATTCTCTACTTTTTCCTCCTGTGCCATGAACTTCCTCCCCTTCCCAGCCCCTCCGCTTCCTGAGTTTGTTTGGCTTACTGTCTCCAGCAGATAGAATCGGGGAAGGAGGAGCTGCTCGGGGGTCTCGGGTTTATGATCCCGGCGAGAAGGGGAAGGCAGCTAGACAATGTCCAACAGGAAGCCACTCTGTGGATCATCTAGTCCTTTATTATTGTCCCGTTTCAAGAAAACATGAGACAGGCGCGCACACGCGTGCACGCGCGCACAGACACACAGACACGTTTCCAGAACGGCAGCAGCACTGTTGACGCAGGCTCTCCGTGAGGCCAGGAGCTCTGGGAGGAGTAAATATTTATAATTAGCAACAAGAACACTAAAGTTCCTTAAGGTTTTCTCAGTGACTGTCAACTTCTTGGTTTTTGCTTTCTCTCTCTTTTTTTTTTTAATTGGGTAGAAAAGGAGCTGGCTTGGTTCACCCAGAGCTTAGGCCCTCACGGGAGCCTTGGGGTCAGTGGAGCTCCCGCTTCTGGGAGCAGTGCCCTGGCTGAGTGCTCTTAAAGGGCTTCTGACCAGCCGCTGCCCCAGGCTTCGCTTCCTGCTGGCACCTCTCAGCTTCCTAAGATCAGTCTCTGCTCAGAAAGAGTCCGTGGTCCTCTATGGGCCGCATAATAAAGCCCACTCTTGCCAGCCTGCCATTCATGGCCCTCCACATCGTGAGTTCATCATTTGTTTCCTGTTGATGCGTGACAGGTTACCACCGTCTGAGCGGCTTAAAACAACACCTATATATTATCCCACAGTTTCCATGGGTCGGGAGTCCAGGCACAGTGTACCTGGGCCCTGCTCAGGATCTCTCTGCTGGGATCGACATGTCAGCCAGACTTCGTTCTTGTATGAAGTTTGGGGTCCTCTTCCCAGCTCACGTGGTCATGGGCAGAATTCATTTCCTTGCAGCTATAGAATTCTTGTGGCTGCTTCTTCAAGGATAGCAGGAGAGAGTCCTTCTTGCTTTCAGTCTCTCAGTAAGGCCTGGACCCTCCTTTGAAAGAATCATGTGATTAGATCAGGCTTACTCAGGATAATCTTGTCATTTAACTCAGCCAAATGATTAGGAACCTTAATTATATCTGCAGAATCCCTTTGCCTTTGCCCTATGTTGTGTGGGGAACCTTTTCTCTGCCAAGGGCCATTTGGATATTTATAACATCATTCACAGGCCATACAAAATTATCAACTTAAAAATTAGCTATGAAAAAAGCTATATTTATTGACTTTCAAGTCCCGCCTGCAGTTGCCTTGGCAGGGCCAGACCAACACCTAGTCATCTCTAGAACCCTAAACAAGATCTTTCTCTCAAATGTCTTGACCTTCAAGGCCTCCTTCCTTCTTCCCTGGCCGGTTTGCAGTAGTTTACAGACTTGACTCACAGCTTCTTGGTTTTCTGCCTTTCTATCTATCCATCTCCCCTCTGGTGTTGCCCAGTAGTCTTTCAAAGCACAGGCTGATTGTTCCATGTTCCCTTCTTCGCATCCTACAACCCTTATAAGATGAAGCACCGTCCCCTTCACTGGCTTTGGGCTCCCTCCCATCCTGGCCCTGGCTGCTGTGCACAGCTCTGTGGTTTGAGCACACGCGTGAGGAACACAGGCATTGAGTGGGAGGCGGGGCCCTCTCTGCTCTGTGGCTGGCTTCTGCCTGAGAAAAGGGTGCTTTTTCTACCCAGAGGAGATGCCTTTTTGTGTTTCTAACAAAGACACAATATGTGCTAACAGGGCCCTGGTGGCCTTCAACTGTCCTTTTACCATTGCCCCTAACCATGCACGCCAACCATCTAAGTGCTCCAGATTATGTCCCATTCTCCCCCAAATACCATTCTCTTTCATTTTTCTGAGCCCTTGTGTCCCCACTGTCCCTGCATTTCCCGTGCTCCTAATCTGTGTCTTGATCAGTGAATAGCTTCAGTTCACATTCAGGCTTTGGCTTCCTCAGAGTTCCTCTACATGGTTTAAAAAATATGTAGATTCCATAATATGGGGG